AAAAAAGTCAAACATCGTAAGCATTGAGCTGATACTAATCTAACAAAAAAAATAGATCTTTTGTCTGGATTTCTTATGTTCTTCCTTCCTCAATGACTATTAGTGCTAACAGGTGATCAGATGGAGTTTTCAAATGTTAATCTTAAGGCTAACTTTAAATAACTTCTAAAATTATAGTGATAAAATCACCTGAATTGGGGTAGAATTGGCTGTATGAAACTAATATAACATATCTGAAAATCATATTTGGTTTACTGGTCATGCATAACTTCACAAATAAAACATACCAAAAAGATAATATATTTGTCCTGTAAAGAGATGGTGAGTAAAAATGTGCAAGTTTGATAGATCTGATATCTATCAGATCACACAGATACATGTGCGATCTCTATATATATCTCACATCAATTATCCATTATTTTGGCCACATCATGGGTATCCTATTTCCAAGGGCATTATTTCTTAGGTACTCTTTTAAGAAATGTTGTAAAAAAAAAAAAAAATTATAACATTTTACCTTGCACTTAATTGCATTTCCTCTCTTAAGTTACCCCTTAACATTTGACATTTTACTTTTAAAAGGAAAATAACGAATCCAAAAGTAAAAGTTGAGTCAAAACAATAAATAAATTAGTACTTACGAAAAGAACTCTACAGGGTAAAAAACAAAAACAAAAACAAAAACATTTAACATACGTTAAAATAAAGGAGAGGGACAAACAAAAAATTACAGCAAAATAGCAAATGTGATAAAGGTCAGTAGTAAGACAACAAAAGAAAAGTTCAAAGAAGCACAGAGAGATTGGTTTGTAAAGTCTTAGAGAAATGTAATTCACACAAGTCCTCCAAGATGGGTAGAATCTGCAGATATGGAAAAATAAGCACACTCAAATCGACAAAAGAAATTCAACAAAAGAAAAAAGCATAAGGAATATTCTGAGACAAGCAATCTGACTACAGTTGGAATGAACTAATATAGGAAGGGAAGAACTATTTTCTGGTATCCTTCCCTCCTATTAACTGCCTTTAAGGAAAAAACAGTTGTAGAAACTCTTCAAATATGTCCAATACTCCACATCCAATGGATCTTTTGGCCATTGGATATGTTATATGCACCTAACAGATTAAATTTCCTCCCTGAAATGTGAAGGCAGTTTACCAAATTTCAGTATACAGTAAATTAAATCTCATAATATTCAATATTTTAATAATGTTCAGCAATTAAAAAAAAAAATCTATAGACCCCCCAAAAAGAAAGGACTATATTTTAAAAATCTAAGACCATGTTTGGCACCAATTCTGCCTTATTCCTCAAAATAAACTGCAATAAGACATCAATCATCAATCTAGCTTCTCATGTTAACATAACAATGTTTAAAACTAGTATCAAGTTACTGTTCAGTTTCATGAACAGATTCAGTAACGTTTCCTACAAACCCAGCTAAACATTAAAATAGGCCACACTCACCAATATGGTAGAATATATTAAGATTGCCAAATTTTAAATTAATGGTAATTCTGATTCCAACAGCAAATGAAAGTGAAATTCCAAGGCAGTAAGTATAGTATGGATATAGTTGGAATAATTACTAACAAGAAGTAGATGGATATTTTTAAACATAATGGCTAAAAAAATTATAGCATAGTCACAAGAAAACACAGGAGAGGATGTAATAACCTGGTGAGAAGTCAGCAAAACTAGGACTGTACTTTTTAATTAAAGGAGATAAGTCGAAATTAAAGACAAGTAAAAATAGTGAAAGACTTGAAAACACCAGACAGAAATCAAATAGTAATCTTTTTTGGGTATATCATGACAAAGAGGGTCACAGGTTCATCAACTTGCAATGTGAAAATGACAATCAGAATGAGAATCAACTTTATGTAGATATTACTAGAACTTCAGCAATGTCATTTTGAAATGTGAAAGTTAGAAATATAAGGAAAGTCTTTCATAACTCTGGTATTCTACGAATTACTAAAAAGCAGAGAAGACATCTTATTCATACTTTAACCTGTAAGCATTCAGCTTATAATACCTGGCATACAATGGGTGCTTCATGTTTAATGGAGTAAATAAGTAATTATAATAAGCATGATATATCATATTTTTAGTATGTTACATGAAATCCTACTGTTTTAGAACCATCATTTGATTTACGATCAAAATCTACAAAACAATAATCCTTATTATCATGGATGTTAATATAAACACTGCATATTGATTCTGGTCCTTAATGTTTTACTAATTTTAGCTATATTTTAAGTGTATAATTGACACTCTATATCATCAATATGATAATTTAATTTAGCTTCTATCTGTAACTCAGGTCACTAACTT